GTGTGTATCGTGTTCACCAGGGCCGTGCAGAGACCACTAGAGGGACAGGTGCTCAACAAAAAAAGGACACATCTAACCGCATTCTAGGACAGGCTATTAACAAAGCCACACAGCTTTGAGAGTTTAATAAACTATGATAAATTACAAAATTGTGAGATATACAATCAAAGCTAAGGAAAATCTCTATATAGAGCATACAACTATGCATATGTAAGATATTTTATTAGTAATTTCTTTCTGCAGGTCTATTTTGTTATAAGAAAGTATTGTCATATTCAAACCCGCAATTTAGCAAGATATGTAAATTAGAGCTAGACCACCAGACATATTGTCTTTACAGAATTACACTATTAAAAATATAAACAAGGGCACAATGCAACCTTTTAGTGCACTGTAATCTATATAAAAAAAGCTGCCTGTTTGCTACACTTGCAGTGGAGATGAAGATGGTCCATTCAGGAAAGCAGAGCTGCATCAAACTTTAATGTGGAACTGCAGAAAAAAGACAAAAGCAAATAGTGAATTGTTAATGCATGTCACCATGAGAAAAGCCTACTGAGTTTTGTGTAGAAAAACTTTTTTTAAAATTAAAATCACACATTTTTGTCTCATGAAGTGAAAAAATTATTTGCAAAACAAACTTATTTGTGCATGTCAGAAATCTTTTCTTGCTATTCAAAGTTTTTGTTTGTGACTCAAAGTTTTGCCTGTGATTTTCACATGATATCGTGGGCAGGACCTAAACTCATAACAAAAGATTTCTGAGTGCAAATAAAAGTTTATGTTTGGCAAATAACTTTTTAAGTTCACGAGACAAAAATTAGTTATTTAATTTAAAAAAAAAGTTTTTTAAACAAGAGGTTTTGTTTTTTTTAAAAAAGAAATCATTACAATTCCTAAAGTTTTGATTACAATTTTATTTTACTTAACTGAGGTTAGTTTATTTTTTCATTGAATAATTGGGGGGGTATAACTTCATACTCTGTGAACCAGACCCTAAACTTACTTAAAGTCTGGTTGAGTTTTTTTCCCCTTCATTAATGACACTTTTATTACATACATTATATCTATCATGGTAATTCAGAGTTATTTTTTAATCTAAATGAATATCCTTGTTGGACTTTTATTTAAGTGCTATTCTCCTTCAAGGTACATTTACCTAAAGCCAGAATAAATGCAGTGTACATTATGCAGCAAAGGAAATTAACAGACATATATCCATAATGGAGATGATAGGTTTTGGACAGGCGATGAGCATAAGAATGACTGCTATCATTAACGATACAGGGAAGAAGCTTTTCAGTTATCTAGCTTTGTTAGCAAAGTCGTTAGCTAGCAGCTAGCTAATAGCACATCAACAACAACCTAATGTCTGTATGATAAAAATACTGAATCGATAGATAAGAACAGTTTTTCCTCACCTGGCTGTCTCCTGCCGCTCAGTAGTTCTTCAGAGAAAGGCAAACGCAGAGGCCTGTC